TCTTGCTTGTGCAATGAGCATAGCTGCCATGCCGGGTTTAACGGAACCACATCAACGAAACTCAAGACATGCTCATGACCTGTGACCGCTGCCGGCTATCGTCCAGAGAAGTGACGTTCCTGCCGCGACCCGTCAACGTTCTTGCGGAGACAGATGAGACAAGAGGCGTCCTGGAGCAACCGTCGTTGAACCCGTCGAAGAACAGCGATCTGTATTTCACAGACCGCCAATCTCACGGTCGCCTTGCACGAGAGCAATCCAAGAACAAGACGAGTGCGAGAGGGAAATGCCACAAAGCCATGCTGCTGCTCCCGTGCTCGGTGGCACAAGACTATCGAATTGAAGTTACAGTAGTAGTATTTTTAGTCAAGGTCGCGCGTGAAGAGAGAAAAAATCTAAGGCCCACCTCACGCGTAGAACTGCAGAGCAGAGGTGCACGCGACTGCCACGGACCACTCTTGCCCTTACGACGCGAGAAACAGTCGACGTCTATCCATGGTCCAAACAAGCCCGTTGAGCAAAGCCAATTGAGCCTTTGTTTCCAAAGTTGCGATAGACTGTGGTCGCACAGGGCGATGATGGAAAAACAGGCAAGTGAGTGGCCGTGATGAGCAGCAAAAAAACAGAAGGCAGGCCTGATGGCATTGAGTGGTCGATATGCGACGGGACATGCATGCAGGTCGCGTAGGAAGCAGGATGAGAGCAAGGTCCCGAGTTGCGGCATTGGTGGAGACTCAGCCCCTGCCTTGTGCGTCCGCATCGTCCGCTTCCATCTGGGCTTTTGGTCGAGCGTGGGATGCATGCAAGCGGCAACTTTTACCAACTGCTACCGAGAATAGCAATGACGTGCAGCGGGTGCCGTCCGCCGTGCGAGTCAATTCTGTATTTAAGAACATGACCATGCCCGCCTTTGGAGTTTTCTTGCCTCCTATCAATCGCGACTTTATCAATTCACGCCAACACCATCTGAGCATCGATCAATTCAATCTCACATCGACTTGCCATACCAGATCATATCCCATTAACAGCACTCGACCAAACCTTATAACTTACCATCAACACAAAACACCTTCAACATGCTCTTCTCCGCCATCTTCACCGCCGTCGCTCTGCCTCTCCTCGCAGCTGCCTCGCCAATCGAGCTCGAACGCCGCGCTGGAGCACCTGCCATCGTGCCTCTCGCCGAGAACTGCACACTCATGAACCCTCTGCCTCACGCCTCGCTCCACCCAGGCAACGCCAGCATCTCCGGCTACCTCCCTTCAACCGTCTTCTCTTCCTCTCAAATCTACTCCTGGTACATCCCCCAACCCGACTTCATCTCCAAGGAAGCCCGCTGGTCAAACTGCATCCAACAGTGCAATGGCTTGAGCGGCTGCGTATCTGCCTTTATGGCCTACAACGCACCTCTACCCAAGGGCTGGCTGGGTCTGCCTGGTGGTGAACTGGAGGTCGGCTGCTTCATGTTCAACAAGACCTTGACACCGCTCGACTTTGTCGCTGCCGAGCAAGGCCGCTACGTCAACGCCACTGCTGGAAACATCTACTGCCCCAAAACCGCTTCCGCGACCGCAAACTCGAGCGCAAAGTCTACTGCTACCAAGAAGAAGCCTGTCAAGGTTGTTGCTTGAGTGCCTTTTGGCTCTTTTCTGGTCTTTTGATACCCCACTGTCCTTTCTTTTTTGACCTCTTTCTCTGTTTGATTGAGCGATCTTTTTCATCATTTTCCTAGCATCTATCTTTCCACAAAGCATTCTCATCTCTTTGCTTGCATCTGGATCTTTGGATTGGACATGGTTTGGGTATGGGCAAAAGGGCAAAACAACTTTACGACATTCCGCATGGAAACAATGCATAATGATTAATGGATTTTTCTTGGGTTTACGATCCGGCGTCTTCTCTTGCTTTTCGATAGATCGAATGATATCTTTACCACTGTCTGAACACTTTCTCGCCTCTCAACTCTCTCTTTTCTTGTTCTTGTCGTGTTCCACGGTCAAACTTTTCTATCGTTTTGCACAAGAGCACCAAGCTACACGCGCACGTCAGTGCGGTCAAATCAAGCCAGAAAAGCAGACTAGAAAACACATGGAAACGCACTAGCCAACGCTGTTGCATCGATCTCCTGTTGTCATCACTCACCGCTTGAAAGGTCGAGCAGTCGCACTGTGAAGGAGAAGCAGTATCATCTGTCTTCTGCTAATGGATAGAAGGAGTAAACAGACGCGGACCTTAGGACTTGTTTGGAATGAGTGCCTGATTTACGAGCTCTTTTCTGCACTATTTCAGTGCTACCTTGCCGGCATGACGACTATGAAGTATACGTGACAATCTCATCACTCTGGTCATGAGTATGATCATACACATCATCAGCAATCTTGTGCCTGTTTGGCGGCACATAGTCCACCAACTTGAAAAACTCAGCCATGGCAGGATGTTTAGTCGCATCATTGATATTGAACGGCAGACTTCCTTGATAAATCGCTCGAGTGAGAAGGTTATCCAATTTCTCCTTTCTTCGCTGTGCAGCTCGATGAGCAAATGCCATTGCTCGTTCGGGAACAGAATCGGGGTGCGAAGTATGGGCTTGGGGTCGCGGCCGAGGTAATTGTGGTGCCGTTGCTGGTGCAGTGGTGGGTCCAGAGGTTGTGGCGTCGTTCATGGGAGTATCGGGTTCGAGCCCACTGTTCCAGTCGCGTATGTCGTCTAGCGGTGTAGACAGTGATTGCTGTCTTCCACTACCAAGCCCATCCAGCAATGTAGGCAACGACATGTCGAATTGTCTCCTGACAGGCGTTTCTTGCTGCACATAGCCACCACTGCCGCTTGCAGCACCTACACCGTAACTGACCGTCCTTCGCTGGGGTCCATGTAAGAGTTCCTCGGGCACATCATTTAATTCTTCGTTATTTGTTGCAGCGAGCTCGGCCAGATAGCGATGGAAATCAGAACATTGTTGTAGATGCTTTACTTTGCGGCTAGCAACACTGCGAGCGAGGCGTTTGGTTTTGCAGTGTCTGCATTGGACGATGACTTGTTTTCCCGAGCTTTCGACTTGGTCGAATTGCATCGAGGCGTAGCCTTCTGGTCGTGGCATTTCTATTTCCGGTGTGGGTTGTATGCTACTGGGAGATATGAAAGGGTAGTCGATGGTATCGAGGTTTCTATCTTGAACACGGTGAGCTGAGGTTACTTGTCATGCATGTACATTCAATTATCGTGAAGTGCAAGAGTTTATCCATCATAGCTTCCATCCGAAGGCTAGGCGACGATGCAGATGAAAGCTGAGCGCGTGATTCTCCCAAAAAGCCATTGTTCTGTAGCAGACATTGCAAGAAATGGAGAAGGAGTGATCAGAACTTACGGGAAGATAAGATCTCGTGTAAGCGACGAAGGATGTAGACGTGGATATGAAGCAAACACGTCCGCGACGGTGGTGATGGGCCTTTGTGGTCGTTAACGACAGGTTCTCGACGAGCGACGCGTTGAGAATAACCGAGGTGGTCCATGCTCGGGTTCTTGTACGGAGTATGACCCTGTTGCTCAATAGATATATATCTCTTTCGACGAGCGGCATGGACTACGATGCGACTAAAGTAATCAAGGAGGAAACAATCGGACTTGTAGTCGTATATTTGTGTCAGTTTTAGCAATTTCCACGAGTTTGGGTGTATATCATCATTACTGAGGCCTGGCAATGCTTATGGTATCAAGCCTCAAGAATAACATCATTCAGGGACATACACGTGATTCACAAACGAAAAAAAGTCCTAGAGGGATGGGCAGCAAGCCAAACATTACAGATCACAAGAATTTATCAGAACAAAACATGTCTCAAATGTTTCATTAATGTGTTGATCAGAGGGGTATCTCGTCTCGTCCTCCCAATCCCAGTCCATTGCGCTTTCCATAGTCATATCGTAATCGGTCGTAAAGGTTCATGCAGTGCTCGATCTAGCATGCAGATACATCTGCCACTGGTGCTCAGAGCTTGAGAAGTGTGTCGCTCGTTTCAAAAGCGTGTTGGCGAAGTGTTCAGCGGAAGCAGTTCAATTTGCCGAAAGAGAAGCGGAAGGGAGCGCGACGAGGGCCATGTTTGTCGACGATAACACCACCGCCTAGACATGAAGAGTCAGCAAGGTGATCAGTGGGAAATATCAAAATATGTCGAGCGTACCAGCGTGCTTGCCGCCCCAGCCCTTGGTCCACATGAAAGGCATCTTGAGTGTAAAGGTTTAAGGTTTGCTTGATGGTCTGCTTTAATGTTGCAGGGTTGATGGTCAAGTGATTGCTTTGACCGTTGTTGTTTTTGATGGAGGTAGAGAATTGATGAAGCTGATGAGAATTGTTGCGACAGAGGTAGGTGATATATAAAGGTCGGATCCACCAGTTTTTATCTCTCCAGCAAAAGACCTTGTTTTCCTGTGTTGATCGTGAGGCTGGGTGCATTTTGGCGGGTTGTGAAACCAGGGAGGTTTGTGGCTGTGCGTTTGCTTGGCCTCGTCATTCGATCGGCAAACGTCAGAGGCTTTTTGTTGTCAATATCGACCATTTTGGTGAATTATTGCAACTTGGCGAGTCTTGCGTTTCACAAAATCATTCTCGCTGACATCGATGTTGCGTCTGGCTTGATGCGTGTGTCTGGAGGGGCATCTTGCACGTTGTCAAATGGAGCGACAGTGTCGTAAGGTTTCTTGTACTGCGCCATCTTCCTCATCCGTCGCTTATTTGGTCCTCTGTCCACAAACGAACGGCATAGATGTCCATGCTTACAAGAAAATCGTGGTCTCGGCATCGAACATCTCTCGTCTGAGCTGAACATCATGCATGACAACCAAGTGCATGCTCTTCAATAGAGACATCAAACATATCATACGATGCGGCACATAAGCTCGCTACAGATTCAAACTTGTCATACAGGAGCGACAGTCAGTTTAGATCTTGAACATGATCATCTAGCATGTTTACTGTAGGCACCTCTCTGGATGCATTTGAAGTTACACCCAAGACGTCTTGATGATATCGGCCGCCTATACTGACAGTCAGCCATCGTGTCTCCGCTCGACATTTTCAGGAACGACTCACCTTTTCAGCAACAGCATAAACACTACTACTGCTATGTCCAGCCACAACCATGGGAAAAATACCCGAATCAACTATCCTCAACCCTTTCGTACCATATACCCCCAATTCATCATCCACAACACCACCCAACTCCCTCTTCATCATCGCCGTCGTCGATGAAGGATGCTGCCACGAACTCGTCGCTGCGTTCCTAATCGCCTCTTCAATTTCAGTATCTGTCGAGACATTCTTACCTGGGAAAGTCTCCACAGTTCCCAGAGCTTGCATTGGTGGTGAAGAAACCCAGTCGCGGATTTTCTTGACAGATGCGACTGCGATGGCCATGTCGATGGGGTGAGAGAAGGTATTGAAGTTGACAACAGGTGCTGCTGAAGGGTCTGTGGTGTTGATGTATATGGCTCCTCTGCTGGCAGGACGAATCATTGCCAGAGGAAGGGTGTTGCCGCCTTCCCAGGCTATCTCTGCTACTGCAGCGTGAGAGGATGAGTAAAGAGATTCGAGGAGTTTGGTTTGTGCTGTGTAGCCGGAGATGATCGAAGGGTGAGTTGATAGTGGAAGCAGGGATGAAATATTTACTGATGATGCGGAGGCAATGATAGAGTGGTAGTCAGAAGTGATGTTTTGGAGTGGGAGAAAGGCTACAGTGCTGCCGCTTAGGTACGGCACTGTCATTGCACCTGCAACTGTGTGTCAACTGCTGAACCAAAGCGATCGGTGGTAAGGCTTGCCTGTGCGGTTCTTGTAGTAGATCTCTAATTGCTCAGAAGCCCAGCTCGCGTTCGAGAAGATCCAGTCCGGGCTCGGGAAGGTATAACTACCGTCTTTTTCGTCATCAGTCTTGATCCGTCATCCGCAATCTCGACATGACTTACAGCTGAACTGCATATACAGCGTAGGCTGATCTTGGAAGTTGCTTCCCACGCCTGGTAGATCCACGACAGTCTCGATCCCAAGATTCGACAACAGCGGCTCAGGCCCAATACCAGAAAGCTGAAGGATCTGAGGAGTACGGGCGGCGCCTGCTGCCATTATAATCTCACAGCCCGCTCTGACCGTACTGGTCTCGTTAGTAGCCCTGGACACAAANNCTAGTCACAAACATCAGTCACACAACTCACAAGCAACCTAGACATCAATACTCACATCAACAGAGACCGCTCTCAAATCATCCTCGAAGTTGATCTTGGAAACAGTATGCCCAGTAAGCAGATGCAAGTTCCTTCTCACATTGGCGATAGGGCGATAGTAAGCATTAGAAGCATGTGCTCTAGACTGGTTCTTCGCATATGCCGAGATGGTACTGTAGAAAGCACCAGTGACCTCTCCGTTGTTCGGTTGAGGGTTTATGGCAACACCAATGCTGTTCCAACCAGCAAAGAAGTTTTCTGGATTTTACGAGAAAATCAGGTTGATCCTCCAGCAAGGCAAGAGAAGAACCAACTCACCGATGACTGGATACTGATAGTTTGAGAAACTCGATCCCACGGGGCCATCAACACCGTGAGGCTCGAGATCAGATGAGATTACTCCAGGGAACATATCCTGGGTCTCCTCAATTGGTGGTGTGAACGTCTCACTCTATTCTGAACATTAGCTCTCCATCATTCCATCTCTATATCGAGAAAAGTAGACCTTTTTGAAATAAGGCAACAGTCCATCCCATCCCCATCCTGGGTTACCCAGTCGTTCCCAGGCATCGTAGTCAGCTCTTGCTCCACGAGCAAAAAACATGCCATTTACTACTGTTCCTCCACCAACTACGTCGCCAGTGTATAAAGGGGCAGTGCGGTTGTTGAGGCCGGGTTGAGGGATACTGGTGTCTGTGTTGAGATACTTGCCTGGTACAGCAAGACCTGGCACTGTGGTTCCGTTGTCTTGGCCATCACTGTCTAGGCATTAGCACTATTGATTAAGGACTCGAGGAAGGAGGATTAACAGGTAGCCACGTTCAATCACCAGAACACTGATGTGTGGATTCTCGGTCAAGCGATTTGCAACAACGAGACCACTCGTACCGCCGCCCACGATAACATAATCGTAGATTTTCCTTAGCTGCTCGCTGCCATTGCACACTATGGCATGAGGAGGAAAATGGCGCAAGGGTGAGCCATGACCATCTGCAATCAGAATCAACACCACAATAGCTTGCAGAATTCTCGACATATCAGAAGGTATTGTTTTTTGAGGGTAGATGATAAGAAGGATGTCAAGCCTGGGCAGCAGTGTTACTTGAGCATTGGAGATGGTTGTTGCCGCCCACTCGAGGATTCATGCATGCAGCCTCATGCAGTCAGACTGCATGCACAGAGACGTAAGCTTTTATTTCATAGCAGACCCCTCACTTAGGATGCATATGAGTCTATGGGTGTTTCTGGTTGGCGGAGTAGCTCAAGCCTGATGTAGTCAAATTTCAATTTCTGGCCAGGTTCAAGACGTCTTTGAGACAATAGATGTGATCTTGATATCCAGCCTCAGAAGTACGAAAGAAAGCAGAGTAACAAAACAAGAACATAAACCGCAACGGTAGTACAGAATGCTGCGTAAAAACAAACACAAAACAGCAAGGTTACACCGCAAAGCAAAAAAGAAACAGTCAATTGCAGCGAGTAGGAATCGCACCTACGATCTCCTCAAATCCATCCAAGGCCCTCGGAGCAGTAAACTCGAGTAGCTCAATTTACACCAGTACCGCCCCTCGTGCTTCCAAATTGTATATGCGACCTCTCTCGATGACCTTATGACACCACGAGGAAGGTTGGCGACAATGCTCGTGTGCAAATCGTGTATCCATATTCGGTCCACAAAAATCTCCTTTCGATCTTCGCTCCCTGCTCGTTATACAGGACTCCCGTAAGACCACGAGCAGGCAGATTCGCTCTGATTTGGATGCATTATTGTTGTACCGGTAATCCACAAAACAGACGCGATGACCTGGGTGATAGTTGTCGAGTAGCATCCGATGGAACGAGTGTGCTGAAAAGGGCGCTGACGGTCCAGTCATTGCGGAATGCGTCGGCGTGACTGCCCGTAAAAAGGGTGTCGGCTTTGGGTATCACGATCTCGAAAGACATCTTTGACCGGACCATCTCCATGTTTCATTTGGCGAGTGCATTATGGACGTTTGTGTAGTTTCCAGGGTGCCTTGAACTCCATGTGAAGATCTCGTTCGCTGTCGTGATGGGCGCGGAACAAGAGGACCAGCGCATGTGAGTCGTCGACCATGTGTATTGCTCACCCTCAGACTAGGGCGGTCCTCATCATATGTGCTTCCCATCTCTTTCAGCTTTCAAGCAGCTTGCATCTTGGCCTCGACCTTGGCCTCCCACTTCTTGACCTGCGCATCCCACTTCTTGTCTTTCTCAAAGTTGTCCTTGGCCCAAGTGATGACCTCTTGCACCGCAGCATATTTCTCCAAGAAGTAGAGTTCAGAGACAGCGGCTTGGATAATTTGATGATGCTTCTTGTCCAGTTTCGTTTTTCCCGCTCCAGAGTGTCCATCGGACGTCGATCCAGAAGCAGCCGCATCAACAGATCCAGCACCAACAGCAGAAACAAAAGCCTCAGAAGGTCGAAACGGCGGTTCGAACTTCAGCAACTGTTTCCAGATNNCTACCACCCACACATCATCAGTCAAACATCCCATACTCTGTCCACAGACACACAAAACACTTACACTGCCCTCGTCTATCCTAGCCGTATAACTCGCTTTTTGTGCCAGAAAGTCGTCTTCGGTATATCTTGTTCTGGCGGCGCGTGCGGCTCCGGCTTTTTCTCTCTCGGCATCGCTGTCGTCTTCTGCTTCGACGGCTGCGAGGGTCGCGTCGACGCCGGCTTGTTGGTCGTGTGCGGCTGTTGTCGCGTAGTCGTCGCTGGAGACGTCGAGAGCGAGGAAGGGGTCGGCTTCGGCGGACATGGTTGTGTGAGAGGCGCTATGTTGCGAGTGGTGGTTTGTCGCCGGAACGAGGATCGAAGAAAAAAGTTGGTTGTTGAGAGGAAAAAAGAATTAAAAGAAAAATGGCGGGGCTTTGAGACGGACCATCAATGTACTCGGCGACTCCATCCAGCCATCGTCGCAGCACATAACCAAAGCTATAGCAATGTCAGACTAAGTGACATGGTGGTTTCAAGGATCAAGAGGTGTTCTTGTCTGAGTTCTGAATAACATGTGAGCTTCCTTGGTACCGTCTACTGTTCGATATATCTTATACATCATGGCACTATTGAACAAGAGCAACACGCGATCACATTCATGATTGAAAATAGACAAAAAGATATGAAGCTGTTGTAGAGTTCTGATTTCGAACTATGCTAATGGTACAGCAGGGCAATTGTTCTCTGGTAAAACGCCCGTGGATTGATTAAAAGTCATCCTCCTTAATCGTCATGGCATGAAACAAATAACACTCAACCTCTCTCTAAGCGACTAACTTATGAGAAGGGGTTGGTGCGGGTGCCCCAGTAGGTGAGGAACATGGAGAGACCGACAGTCTCGAAGACGCGGGCAAGAGCACCGACGGCGACGGTGTCAAGGGGGCGCTTCTCGGTGAAGATCTGGGCAATGAANNCTGGAGACTTGTTAGAGCGTATTCGTGTAGAAGATCTCATGATATCAAGACTTACGGAAGGAGCGGAAGAGGCAGCGAAGATCAGGCCACCGAGGTAGGCAGCGCCCTTGTAGGAGAGGGTACCGGTGGCGTTAAGCAGAGCACCAACACCGTAGGACTGGAGGGCGGAGCCGGCAAGGGAAGTACCCCAGGCAGCGGCGGCCGAAGCAGTCTCCTTGGACTTGAAGAACTCCTCCTTGGAGTTGGCGGCCTGGGCCTGGCGGTAGGTGTCGCCGAAGACGGGGCCGAGGATGGCGAGCGAGGCGAGGTGGTTGAAGGCAGTGCCGACAGCGATGGCCGAAGGCTTAACGGGAGGGAGGTCTGTGGAAGGAAAGGGTTAGTGACTGCTTTGTGATGTTTGTCAATCTCTTCCCCTGAGCTGTGCGCATCCACGGCTCAAGGGAGCTCCAGAAGGTGCGGACAGCTGCAGTGGGAGACGATCAGTAGCGACTTACAGGAGAGAGTGGCCATTGTGATGGATGTGTGTGTGGTTTGGGGTGAAGAGTTGAAGATTTGATGGGTTTGGAGATGGATATGGGAGAGATGGACGGAAAGAGCGCAGGAGACGAGGTTAAATGCAAGTCGTGCTACGCCTCGCTCCTGCCAGCTGTGACGTACCCTCACGCAAGCGTCATTGTCTTGTGGCTGGAATTGGAAGCTATGGCCAACCTTGTCCCGCTTTCTCCACGACCGCGTTGTTGATGCCCTGCAAGGTCGACTCCCACGAAACACCCTTTGTTCCGAGTTGCTAGACCAACCGAGTACGACCGAGTTGGGCAATACAGCACGAGAACCTGCATCAATATGGTACAAGGTTTCTGCCATCAGAGTCCGACAGCACGCGGGCGTGTTCCTCCAAGCCGAGGGCAATGCGGGACATTTCGCAAGCTTCTCCACAGCCGGGCGTCATTACCCACAAGCACTTGCGCGAGATCGTGATGCTTCAAAACGTCGCCAAAACATGGAAACACAAACAGCAGATGACAGAAAGCGAGAGAACGTTAAGCCACACTTGGTTGCTCATCTAACTTGTAATTCCAAGCCTGTCTAGATCATGAGTGCATCATGCCATCAATCTTATTACAAGAGTGGTCTATGCCTCTCTGCTCACGTCGGCAGCATCCATGCCCTGATTCTCTGGCTTCCAGCTGCCGTCGTGCTTTGACTTGATGACCTCGTGCACGCTCAGTCTGTTTTGTACAATCTCGCGGCCATTGACAAGATCGTTCTCGTCGGCCCTCTTGCGCGCTTCTTCCTCGTCTTTGGCGATGCCGGCCTCGACGTGACGCTTCACCAATCGCTCTCTTGCTACGTTTTCCTCGACCTCGACGAACCACAGCTCATCCATGAGCTCCGCTGCCTCCTTCCACTCTGGTGCGCCCGAGCCCAGACTCAAATAGTTGCCCTCGAAGATCAAGATACGAGCTTCTGGGTGGATGGGGATATCGTCATTGACGGGGTCCTTCTGAGCATGGTCAAAAGATGGCGCATACAATGTCTTTGTTTCTGGCGTGATGGGCTTGCGGAGATTCTTGACCAGCTCCAAAAAGGAACCTGCGTCAAAGGTGAATGCGGCGCCCCGTCTTGCATGGGCAGTGGTTGGGTCGGGCATGGCGTCTAGCTGTGCTCGCGACAAGTGGTAGCCGTCCATTGGGACAAAAGCAGCGGGTTCGTCGTTTTGCGCCAGCGCAGGGAATTGTTCATGGTGAAGATCATTCAATCGATTTGCGACGACGGAAGCGAGAGTTGTTTTGCCNNTGGCGAGCTGTCAGCCTTGTGCAACATGACATGGAGTCCTTATCTTACCTGAACCTGGGATACCAGATACGGCAATCATCAATCGCTTGGACCTGGGCACTTGCTGAAACTTGGCCCATGTCTTCTTGACCAGTCTGTCTACTTGTTCGTCCATATCTGTGGGTATGAATGAAGGTCGTAGGGAGCGTCTCAGGTTATTTAACAAAATAGATGCTTGTTTTGTGAATAGAAAACAAAGAGCTATTTTGGACACGACCCTGATCGACTGATCTATCTGCTGCACCAGAAAAAGCGGCCTCAGGTCAGCTGTCCCCCTCGGTGTCCGGCCGAGATGCCGCCCTGCTTTTTCTCAGAGGAACAAGCATCCCTCTTTCACCCTGCTGATATCACGCCTAATCCGTGATCGCATTTCTGTATGACGTATCGCCTGTTGGCATGTGAATCTGAAAGCCTCTCTGTCGCTTGGCATCGACAACGGCACTTCTTGAATTTGTTGACTTCAATTGAATTTGGAGAAGCAATTGAAGACATTGCACGAACTCGACACCATATTCTTCTTGACGCGACTACCGGTACACTGGTGTTTGCGGTTATGTCACGATGTATCGATTCACCCCGAGGACTCTTCTGCGCAGACATCTGACAACACCTCACACGCGAACGCGAGAAAGGCACCGCAGAGACCATCCTAGGTTCTGAGGTACAAGAGGATTTTAACAATCATTTCGACCCTCATCTTCCGGATACACTGGGAATTTTCACACCTCGCAAGCTGTTTACTTTAAGGCCAGTCATGGCTCGATACTCGGGCCGTGGTCTGGGTGTTGGCTTCGAGGGCAATATTGTCATCGATGATGATATTCCTGATTCTGTCAGCAAGAAGATCTGTATTGTGCTGGTAAGCATGGACTCATGCTCGAACGTGATTTCCGATCACAATGGACAGAGACAACACTAGACGGATGTCAATAAACTTGGGACCACGAACTGGATCAACTGGACACAGCCATCGCAACGCTACGACAAGACTGGATGCATGGATGATGTTGCGATGTTCTAGTCGAGCTCGAAGTCCAAGGTGGAAGCCCTATTGTAGACCACTGGTTTCGCTTCCGTACGCGCCCCGACATCATCCCGGTTCCTGACGATTCCAAAGCCAACCAATCATTTAAACCACCTCATTCAACCGCGCGTTTTCGCCACTAACCTCGCTGTCACCACCTTTTGCCCTCAACCCTTATATTCGAGAGATTTCTCTGACCCAGTAAGTAAGCCATGGTGGTGCAGTTAGGAGCCTACCTGGGAAGCCCTTGGCATTTCCCAGGAGGTCGCGGGTTCAAATCCCGCCCATGGCTCTATAATGATACCGTGCTTGTGCTGCCGATGAGAGGGGCTTTTTTCCATTTCATAACAAAATTCGCACGGTATCATTATCTTTTTTCTTTTGCTTCCTTGTAGATTTGAGAAAGTCGACCTGAGAAAGCCGACCTTTGTATCGACTCTCTATGGTCACATTTCTCGTTCGATATCATTTGTGCACTTTTACAGTCGAATGTTTTCAACTATGCCGGTATGAGAGGAGTGGAGAGCTCTCAAGTTCGAGTTTTACTAAAAACTCCACTATACATTGTACAAAAAGAGCAACATGAAGCGCTTCCTGACCAACATTGGTCCTGAGAGAAGGAAACACGTCCGCAATGTATCAGTCCGATACGACAATTTATCGGCCACTACACTCCATCTTTCTCGGGAGCTCGAGGTATCCGACGAAGTAGCTCAGGCTTCGAACGGCAGGAACATTCGACCTCATCGCATGAGGGCGATCTCTTGTATGTTGGATATGAGGTTACGCACGGTAATCATTCCTTTCATTGCATTGTTGAGTTGTTATGTACGGGACGAAAGTCACGATTTCGTGTATAGGAAGATTTGATGTTTCTTCTCTGTGTCTCCAATGGTCATATATATTTGTCTTTCTGTCACGCTGTGATGAATTCTACTTGTTTCAGAAAGATAAGTACTTGCAACACGGAGTTGGCTTCATTGACACTTGAGATCTTCAAGTCGCTACTTCGCTAACAGTCGTCAAAGTACTGTACCTTTATCTCTGCAGAGCTTCTGTAAACAACAGTAACAGTACATTCACCACACTCTACACAAAGCGGTAAACAAGCTTTCATGTCGCGATTGGACATGACTGACCCGGTACCGGGTTCCAGGTCATAGTGCGTATTTTCCATCGATAGCATCACAAGTACTTCGTCCTCTGAGCCAAAGCTTCGGACTCACAGCACGAAAGAATCAATTCCCATATCGCAAGAGTATCCCCAACAGATACCTCATCCAGCAAGTCGATGAAGACCAAGCTAGGCTCGCGCCAGATATGCCCCTTGAGTGCCAGGAACATCTACGCTACTGAACGATCAGGTTCAGTATCCACATGTCAAGGTGATGCGCTTTCAAAAACTCATTCTCATAAAAGCATGACAAGGTCCTGCTCAAGACATTCGTTGAAAGAGGACGCAAGACTTGTATTACTGCGCAAGTGATTTCGAGCCTGCTGTTGGAGAAGTGTTGGGCTTCATGACTGTGAAGGACTGTGAAGAATACGGCTGACTCTTATGTGTAGCGTTGAATTCTTGAATCACAGCATGAAAGGATCAAGTTTTGAGTCCGCGAGAGCACCGGTGTAGCAGAGAGAAATTTCAGCACTGTGACCGGAGGTTTGTCATTGCTTGTCGTATGGTTAGGCGGCCTAGTACACGAGGGGAAAAAGACTGTGGTCAAGACTTTCATCAACAACGCTAAGGATGCCGACGAAATCATCACTTGCGGTCTTGGGCTTGCGGTTGAAGTACTCAGAGCAGAAGGAGTGGGGGCAATAAGAGTCAAGTGATGGTTGTTTACAAGCAGGCTTACAGTAGGTATAAACTGTTTTCAGACCTTTGCAGTTCACGGGTTCTGCTGACGAGATAGTAGGGTGTTGTTGCCAATTACTTGGACTATCTGAAGGACGACTGCTACAACAAGTACTTGCTGTGCAAGACACGATGTGTCCATTTCGAAAGATCGGGGTTGTCACCTCAGAAATACACATGCTGTCACCGAGACTTGACGCTGAAGCTGACTGTAACTTCAAGCAGTCTCCATTGCGCCTGCCAAGCAATCTCTAACAATCTCCACGAACACGCCGACGCGATATTTCGTAATGACCGTATGATAAGAGAGGCGGTTCCAATGAGACTCTTGTGCCAGAGCGAAGAGTGCCTTGCGTATTGTACGTTTTGTGATATCAGGCCTGATGTACTTGGGCCATTGAGAAGTCTAGACCATCAATGTCATTTCTCGGATTTGTCACCTTGATTGCCCTTCTCTTTTGCACGCTCTTCTTTTTGAGCTTTCGTCAGAGGAAGCTCAGGTGATCTGAAGATACTGATCAGCTTCCGACCTGAATAATTCTCCGGTACCACGCGTGGCCAGTCGTTGGCAAAACAGCGGTTACACATGTAACGATCCGAGCCTGACTGTGTTGATGTTTCTGACGTTTCTTGCTTCTCTTTCCACCATACAGCTAAGAAGCGATCTTGATTACAGCTCGTGCAGTAGTGCTCAACCCGTTCCGGATATTGGACCAGCGCGTGTGTCTTCCATGTGTACCCTTCCGGTAGCCGTTGAGTGACGAACATCGAAAGGGTTTTGGCACGCCTGTATTTAAGATCGTCTTTCCAGAGACATCGTTTGTACTCGGCTATTACATCGCGGGTGCTCTCGTTTTTTATGCGTTGGTATGCGTTTATCTTGGCTCTTACATCCGGACGTCTCTTGCTGGCCTTATGCCACTCAAGTCTTTTTCGACGATACTCAGGATCTGTTGCATAGCGTTCTCGTTGGTAAGTCCGGATTTTCTCAAGTGCCCGTTGGTGAAGGGCCTCTTCTTCTTCACTTCGATCTGGCGCCTGTCTAAGACGACTGAAGCACGAGAACGAGCACGTTGCTGGTGGCCAGACGCATGATCGAACGAAGCGGGATGTTGTCGAGAGAAGAGCGAACATCGCAACCGTAGGCAGTGGTGATGTTTGACAAGCGGGAGGCGTGGTGACGTCGCTGTCGACTTGCTCGATTGAAAGAGTGGACGCGTCAAGATGGAGATGCAGTTCTGCGCTTGTTGAAGGCTCTCTGGATACGTGTACTAGCACGTTGAGGCATCAGCTTGGTCTAGGATAGCATCAACACCTTACCTGTCGCATCAGATGCCAAGTCCTGGCTGCCAGGGCTCAAGTCTGTGCTAACCCGAAAGGCTCAAGACCTGCATAAAATGAGCTCATCCACATAACAAGTCACCGAGCGGTACGCCATATATCCACAAACCACCACAAATCTAATCAATCAGTCGATCTCAACAGGGATGGATGAGTCGATGGAGTGACGCAATATATCATTCATCTCAACCTCACTCCCTCCTGGAAATTGAACTTGAAGTTGCAAAAACTGGACGAAAATCAGCGGCCCAAATCAAAGCATCAAAGAGAACTTGAATTCATCTGGAAAGGACTCTGTGACTGACAAAGTCATGTTGGGCCGAAGAACAATATATGCGTCGCGCCAGTGGTGATAATGAACAGGGGAAGAAAAATGCAAAAAGTTGCCAAAGAGGTGCGACGAGAAAGAACGATGGTGCAGGATGAAGAAGTATAATGACAAGAGTCGTGGCTTGTAGTAGAATAGACAGTTTGCGCTCTGCAGAATCAGCTGTGAAGCCCTGACAGTCGCTGTAGAAAGAAGGCCGCCGCCGGGTCTAACTTTCTGGTAGGTCTTATGTCTATACTCAGTAAGTGTTGGAACTTTGTCGAATGTATCTGCTTGCTTGCTTGTTGTTTTCGGTGTTTTTTGTCAGCGTGGGAGGGAGAGTTCCTCCTAGCCTATGTTGCGCCGTCTGTTTCGTTCTGGATGTGGTTGTCGAGTCGCATTGTATTATGCTCGTACATTTCCCCTACACTCGTTTCGTATACTTGTACTACTCGTAGTAAATGTTGGCATGTCTGCTGGAGACTGAAGATGCTGCGCGATCGTTGCTGCGCGGTTGTTCCTGGGCGGTCATTTGGGACCAATCGACAAAAGTCCTCGTCAGCATCCCGGCATCCCGATCCGGTAATCACGCGCCCATCAGCATCGTTGTTCTTGCTCCTCACTAATTATACACGTTGGCTCTTGAAATATCGTCGACAATGCATATTTTGGTTGAATCCATCGCTCATCGTCGGCGTCCCTATAGCTACCGGTTCGCATTGCGTCGTGTCTCACACCTCCGAAAACGACCTCAGCTGGAACATTCGACCACCCACTAGCTCTCGCCGACCCTCTGGCCTCCTGTGATGCTATTCGCTACCGTCCCTGCGTCGTATTGTATTGGACGAGGTTGGCCACGCGAGCAAGAAGAAAAATCCTGCGGGTCAGGACTTGAGTGCTCCGAGTCAGTCAAGCGCCACTATACTTTTCACTGGCACTTGGAGGACTTCGACTTTGCTACCCATCAGTCGACTCTCCTGCTCGATTCGAAGGCCGTCAATACACCATAAAAATGCAGAATGATATACCGAAACAAGGGCTTTCCACAGAGACTGAGCTCGCTACGATCGGTCAGGGGTTCATACAAGTCACTCTCCAGGCTCCGAGAGCAGCTTTGCGATGCTTTCTTATGAGGGAGTTCAGAAACAGAATCTGCTAGACCAAGGCTGCAATGAAACAACGTGGTAGAGCAGTATTAGAAGGACCTGCTCTGAGCCTTGCTCTCTGCCTATCTTTCTTCTCTCACATTGCTTCAGCCATTACGAAAAAACACTCTGCATCGTTGCAAGACCTTTTTGATCAACACGCCATGGCTTCTTCCACATCTACCTGTTCTACTTCGTCATCGGAGCCTTGCTCTCCCATCTCGACTCCCGCGACCACCCCACCAGATTCTCTCGCCTCTGATGAGGTCGCTACTGCTCCTGAGCTTGCCGTCGCTCTTGAGTCTTTGGTCCGGGAGCGTCCTGCACCAGGTTCGTTCAAGTTCCTGCCGGCCAGAGCACCCCTAGTGGACTGCTCGACTGGAAATCCAGGCGCTCCCGGTAACCATCCGGTCCTGGTTCTCCCCAGCCAAGATGATAACCCTGAGTTGGTTCAGGTAATTTTTGCCACAACGAAGGACATCAAGGGAAACTGTATGGCCCGGGAATGNGGGGAGAATTATCTCCCGCTTGGACACCAGGTTCATCCCTGGCGCAAACCAGTCGCTTTAAGCCGCCAATTTTCCAAGCCGACAAGCCTCAACGTGACCACCAAGTACACGGTACCTTGGAGATACCTTGAGGATCTCAGGTTGGAAGGCAGCCCATGTCTTTCACCACAAGGTATTGAGGAGGTCGCGAACTGGGTTCAACACCCACGTTCTGACAAACACGTCCCTTGNGAAAGGGATAGGGCCCCTGTCGCCCCTGCTGCCAAGCTCAGCTCAGCGTCATATTCGCTCTCTCCAAATGCTAAGCCGTTCGCGCCAAAGCAGAAAGTCCACCCTGTATGGAACGCTGCATCTTGGAGATGAAGCTCTGCTCGTCCTTTCTCTTCCGCCCCTTTACACAGGTGCGCTGACCTGTCTCACCAAACACGCTGACGAGCCCCTTAGGCACTCTGGCCTATCTCCCCAAACAGAACTTCTCTGTCGCCCACAGGTACTCTGACCTTTAACAGTACGATGGTATCGCTCGTGACGATACGGGAATAGCCTTGTGAGGCTAGTGCAGAGTTGCGAGGCAGACTCTAGCACAAAGAGGAGCGTGCAAGCACAGTTCAACATCCCAATCATTCTTGTATCTCTTTTTCCCTTTTGTCCCGTCCATTGGCAGAAGGTTTTTAACGAGGCAAGAGACTGTTGCAGGAATTTTGGTATAACATTTTGGGAGGTGTTTTAGTTTTTCTTCCTGTATTTTCTTTCATCGTTTGTTGTGCTTTCTTGTTACGAGCAGCGAAGATACCCAGGTCCATACGTGGTCCGTCAGCGAAGATACCCAGGCTCATACGTGGGCCAGCGCAAATGTTATGACTTTTGTCTGATTATCTTTATATTCTTGTGTTTCATGATGATTGATGTGTGACTGTAGAAATACACAATGTTGTTGTGGTATAGTGATGACTTGCTGGGAGTCTGTGATAAAGATCATTGCTGTCGCATCTCCTTGGACACACCAAATGAAATAGAGATATACTGCATCTTTATAGCATCATGGTTACTATTACTGCATGCGGGAGAGCGCTCTCCTTCTCTCTGAGCCCGGTGATCTTGTCGTTAGCCTTTACCATCTCCCAGTCTCTTCTCCCACACCAAGAATCTACTATAAAAACTCACAATATAATCCACAAACCCAGAAAACATCCACAGAGAAACAGAAACACTGCTTCATTTCACTGGAAACACTGTGTAAACAATCCGTTTCGTGTATTTCTACAGCTGTCTGAGTATCTACATCTGTTCTCTAAGAGAGACGCCGAGAGCAAAGAAAATAAAAACGGCCAACTCTTTATCACAGTGACCCTGACGAGTCAAAAGTGCCGAGAGTTGGGGGCATAGCTGGGTACCCATTTTCCTGGGTTGTTTAGAAACTTGGTGTGCCGACCCAGCAGAAAGTGGTCACGAGGATGAGGGAATATGCGAGAGGTGGTTTCAGAGGAACAGTCATGGTGTGTGAGCCGTGTGAGCGCGGCAGCCGCCTGGCTAGCGGAGGGCGCCGATGGGGGAAGGAAAGGAGGACAGGAGTGGTCAAGGAACATTATCGCTATCCGACGATGATATGTAGAAGAAGCAGCTTTGGTGAAGATATCATGTTGATGGTGTTGTGTAGAAAATGATGTTCCTATTCTGCTATTCTTTTGTAAGATGTTCATACAAGATGTGGGTGTCTGTATCTGCTTCCACCTTGAGATTCAGCAATCAACTGATTTGACCACCTGCATTGCGCACCAAGCGCAACACATCGCCGACGAGATACAGACTTCCAGCAATAACGAGCAGAGCATCTGTCTCCTCTGCTAGTCGGGACGCCTCCTTCAATGCGGCGTCGACATCCTTCTCAACGACCACACTCTCTCCAGGTAATATGTTTGCTGCAGCTGTCTCGACGTCCTCCGCTTGTGTCGCCATGATCCAGGGCATGCCGTCCACTGCCCCAAACTCCGTGGCTACAACGCGATCTCGAGATCTTCCTGCAAGCAACAGCTCGAACATGGATGTCAAATCTTTTCCCTTCGAGGCAGCAAGAACCCAGATGACTGGACGGTCGCGAGCACGATCTCGTACTGTATTGGCAAGCACGGTTGCGGACTCGACATTGTGCGCGCCATCAAGGAGGGCTGCAGGTGTGTAGCTGGTAAGGGGTGCCATGTTGATATCTTGTAGTCGGCCAGGCCATACGACACTCTGCGGGACGGCGCGTAGCGTGGATGCGAGTGTTGAAAGGCTTGACGTGCGTATCTCGTTGCGTAGGGTGGAAGAGCCACAGGCAGCTTGGGTGGTAGGTGGAGCAGGAAGACGATTCAGTCGCTTGAGCGATAGCCAGGTAATTGTGAAGGCCATGGCACCATTTTGTTGACGAGCATGTCCTGCATCAGTCGTGCTGGATGCGCGAGTCACATCGAAGCCTGCCGTATCTTTCGAGTGCAATATTTGTGTCACTCCTGCTTTGGACGCAAGTTGCATAATGTGCTGCGTTACGGCCTCGTCGTTCATTGCCAGAACCAGCGGTACTCCTGATTTTACGATACCGGCTTTTTGAGTAGCAATCTCGAGTAATGTGTTTCCGAGAAAGCCTTGGTGATCTAATGCGATTGTAGAAATGGCAGTCACCAATGGCTTCGGCCTGTACTGTTGGTTTTGCTCCAGCTCGTCGAACTCGGATGTCTGACCCAATATGTTGGTAGAGTCGAGACGACCACCCATACCAACTTCGATGACACCGATATCCACATTCTCAAGTGTGAATATCTCAAAAGCAGTCGCGGTAAGCAGTTCAAACTCTGTTGCTTGGATGTTTTCGGATATGTTGCGCGCCAGAACCTTTGCTTCGACCTGCCTGAAAATTGTCTCGGATATTGTTTTCTCGTCAATGGTGATGCAATCCCAGCGATCTATTAGATGTGGTGAGGTGAAGCGGCCATGCTTAATCGGTGGTTTGCCAGACTCAATCCGTAGTTGAGAAGCGTTGTATGCTGCGAGCATGGCGGATATGTAAGCGCATATTGAACCCTTTCCATTCGTGCCTGCGACATGTAATGCTCGCCATGGTAGAGGAGTACGTGCCANAAGGCGGAATACTCGAGCCAGACCGAGCTCGATCATGATGGATTACTGTCCAAAGATAAGGACTTTCGAGATGTTCGTTGTAGAAGCCGTACTGCTATCATTAATCATGCAGGCGTGATTTTCATGACAGATTCGCGCACTCAATATCAAGCAATTATCTCATGGTTCCTGACCGTGTTCGATATGTTGCTGTGAATAGCATCAGAAGTCTCGAAGCAGATCGTAATTCATGAGACGAGCGCCAAGAAATGGTCGGACCCCTGCTGTACGAGCCGGGTAGAGATGCCCACTGCTTGCCTCGAGCGCTTTCGTATTGTGAGAGAGCAACGGATTATGGCATAGCCTCAGGCCTACTTCTTCCTTGGATGAAGGCCTGATTATCTTGGCTGACATACAGTGATTTCACAGATCGTCACACGACGTCTTCAAGGACTCTGACCTGCGACACGCAAACAGGCGCCGGTGAAACTTGGGGGCATCTTTAACCAGATTCTGTACGTGCCTCAAGAATGTGGGGAGCATGCCTCTAACCTCTTTTCACCACTCCCGGACTGCAAGAACACCCCCTGAACAGCAGGGACCGCTTTCTGAAACGCCCTTCGTCCATCCACGAGTGATGGCGAGTGGTCGATAAGGGCCGGACGCCACGGTAGGTTTAGATTGAAGGTATCAAGAAGGTTGGGCACACCACTTTCTGTTCTTTTCTCCTTTCCCTCTACTAGCTTGCGTGTCGACAGCGACCTTTCCTCTCCTTCCACACTCCCTTGCTTGAGGCCATTTGCCTACTATCCACTCTTTCAACCAGACGTGCAACACTAGCACGCGTCCATCCATTCGACTTTTGACTTCCACCAGACAACCACAGCCTCCATAATCTCAGCTACACTAGACATCTCAAGGACCATCTCAGCCCTACAACAAAACATCATGTCAGGCTTCCTCAAGACAGCAGCAGTCGTGCTGGCCGCGACCGCTGTCTCTAAGGTCTCAGCTCAGACTTTCTCCGATTGCAATCCATTATTCAACACGTCCTGCACACCAAACACTGCCCTCGGCACATGGCACGACTGGAACTTTACAGACTCGACCATCGCAGACAAGCATGTCTGGAACACAAGTAGTGGTCGCCAGCCCGACTACACTGATGTCGGCACTCAATTCACGGTATGCTCATTCTGGTTGCGACAGACATACAGACTCCTTTACTGACACCCGACGCAGATTGGCGGCAAAGGCGACGCCCCGACACTCGAGTCCAACTTCTACATCTTCTTCGGCCAGGTCTCGGTCATTATGAAAGCCGCGCCAGGCGTTGGTGTCGTCTCCTCAGTTGTCCTCGAATCCGACGACCTTGATGAAATCGACTGGGAGTGGCTGGGTGGAAACAACACAAGCGTCGAAACAAACTACTTTGGCAAGGGCAACACAACCTCATACGATCGCGCCATCTACTACGATGTCGACGACGTGACTGGCACAGTCCACAACTACACCCTCGACTGGACGAAAGAGCAAGTGCAATGGATCGTCGACGACAAAGTGCTGCGCACCCTGAAATACGGAGATGCTCTCCACGGCGAAAACTACCCTCAGACCCCCATGAAACTCAAGGTTGGCATCTGGGCCGGAGGCGACCCAGAGTCCAACTCCAAGGGAACAGTCGACTGGGCAGGCGGTGTCATCGACTATCATCAAACACCTTTTACCATGACCATGGAGCGCGTCTACGTAGCCGACTACAGCTCTGGCAGCACCTACACCTACGGCGACAACACTGGCTCCTGGGAATCCATCAAGATTGCCGAGGGCAACAGCACCATCGCCACACGCCTCGCTAGACCCCACGGCGCTGAGGCACATTACAAAGCCCTCCCTAAGTGGGCACAAGCTGCAATTGCCGCTGGTTCGCTTGCCGTGTTTGCTATTGCCTTGGTCGCCTTTGTCTTCTGCTGCATCAAGTCAAGACGTGCTGGTCGTCGCGAACGTGCAGCCGCCGATGCTCTTTGGGAGAAGGACATGCAAGAGTTGGCTGAGTACAAGCGTAACTCACCTAACGGTCCCAATGCTGGCAAGGAGCGTTTCTAGGAGAGGTTTAATGGGTTTGCTTTAAATGTGCTTTATGTTGAATACCACCGCCTTGTATCTTTTTGATCATCCTTTCATCTTCGTCCAGCAAATTGAACTATATCACGTGTCCATCGAAAGTCAAGATTCCAGGCGACTTCCCCAGCAAAACTGAGGACGCAGGAAGATTGTTGCATAATTGCAACACCATGACTGTTCTTGATACAATGCCATCAAAAAGCGCGAACTCATTTTCAGAGATCTTCTTTCCCACGGGAGACGGCAACAACGACCGGCAAACGTCCGTGCGAGTATCGGGCCCGTTCCTTCCTTCCTGACGACGCTCTAGATGCAGCAATATCTAACTCTTTCAACTACTTACTCTCTTTCCATCACACAGAATGCGTCTCCGTTCATCAAGAACGACTTTCTCGGACAAGGAAACCCCCGATGCCATGATGGATACACTGCCAAAACAGCCATTCCGCTTTCTCGATCTACCAAAAGAACTCCGATTTATGGTCTTTGAGGAGCTCATGGACAACGAGGCCAACTCTATCAAATGCACCCCGCCCAAAGGATTCGACATCGAACATGTCTGTCTGGACGGGATGTATTATCCAAACCTGCTGCAAGTCAACAGGCTAGTTCACGACGAGTACTGGTCTCTGTGTCTTCGCAAATCCATACTGTGGATCACATACAACTGCAGCGATCCCAACACATCCGACGAGGATATCAGTGAAGCGAACGACGTGGGACTTCCTCGCCTATCAGAGTGGCTAGAAATTACAACCAAAGTGCTGGTCAGGATCACAGAAGTGGTGTTCAGATTCGGAGCGATGTTTTTGCTTCCTCGAATCAGTATGTTATGCTCTGCACCCTTCAATTGTACCATCTCGACCGGTTCCTGACCTGTCTCAGATCCTTTCTCCGGTATTTCCGACTGCACCGAGGAGTTGCCCAACTTGAAGCTCATTGGTATATGGTCTGAAATGCAAATGGATCTTATCGACTCTACTCTGTTTCATGCAGGGGTCGACATGGATGTGTGGTTCGAGAAATTTGTCGACAGCATCTTCGCCGAGGAATTCCGTCTCTTGGATGTTATGGAAGAAACAGGTCGCGAGTTTGACCTGCGTGTCGATTGCGACCTGTATACGCCACTGTATGAGATGAACAAGCGACTTCGTTGGCCTCGTAGCAGACATCTCACTCAAGGTGTCGCCCCGCTTGCGGGTCTTCCGGAATGGGGCTACGCCTTTTACAACGTGATCCCTGAGTGGATGCATGGAGAAGAAGATTCGTTCACGTACCATGGCCAAGAGTTGCAGTTCTCGCATGTTCAACGCCATTTTCCTACACTCGAAAGATCCTCTTATGAAGACACATCATCCAGCGAAGACGGTTATGAGTTCGATGACTCTGGTTGGGCGATAGACTGATCGCTTGAGTATGGATCTTGATTGGAAGCAATTCAGAGGCGACATGGAATGGATGAGGTTTGGTAGAGGACAGTATTGTTTTGCGAAGGATCGCTCAGGTGACCATCCACAAGAAGCATCACTTCACCATCACATATAGTCATCAAACAGGTCTTCACAGTATATGGTGTTAGATGAGACATGGGACTTGTCGTTAGGAGCTGACCTGTAAAAAGCGATACTTGCACTCTTGGTGGACATTGTTGAAACCCAAAAGTGCTATCTTTTCGACAGCGAGATTCAGGTGGCCAAGTTGGTTAGAAGACCATGTCCTCCCAACTCCGTTCGCGGACTCTTTCCAATGGCCGAGTCTCTCAATCAGTTTGCGGCTGTACATCTCTTGCACCCGAATTGTTCGATTTGTTCTTCGATCATCACCTTGTGTATTGCGATAGATGGAAACATCGTGTCTTGGCCTGTAACAAATCAGTGTCTCTCAAGGTCTCTCAAGGACGCTCTAGCAGACAAAAGTGCGCCAGTCAATGTTGATTCGGATGTTGGTGTCGACTGAGCAAAAGAGTGGACCTCAAGATGTTCAAGTGCGGAGAAAGCTCGGTGGACAGATGGCAGCTTCCCAACTCACCATCATTGTACATTTTGTTGCAAAAGCAGGAAGTCGTCAATTACCCACTGGACGATTTTGTCGAGGCCCGACATTGGTTTGCGCTGGACGCTGGATAATTATCACCCGTGATTGATACACGCGACAAGCTCGACAGAAGCAACGCACAACCGCAATCATGCTGTCTTGGAGCGCGTACGTCGTACTGTAAACGGTTGGTAAAATCAGCAAAACTGACGATTGCTATGCAGCATCCGGTCGGCTCTCATCTTCTTTGGACCCATGCTCCTTCCTCGCATCATCGCCTTCTACCGTAGTCTTCGAGCACCAAACAATGCACAACGAGTACCCGTGTCGCCAGAAGCATCTCGTGCCCTGAACCTCCTTTTCGCCAGCGCTGTCGTCTCGCTCATCTTCACCCTCCCATACTTTAAGCCCACCAACATCTTCAGAGAGACCGAGTCCCGACTGCAAACACCCACGCCCGTTCTGTTCAATCGACTGCCCACCATCACACCGCAAGACGAGATATTACGCCAGATCTTCACAACAGGAGGTTTAGAAGCAAGATTGCAATACCTCCGCTTCGGTCCTGATGTCCTTTGCAACTGTCCTTTGGTCAACGATCCCAAGGCCCAGGATGCGGGTACCAGCTACCTGATCTGTGCACTGCCCTCGCTGCTCAAGACACACCTGATGCACCTGCTCTTCCTCGGCCTTGCTACCTCTACATTGGTCGGCGGCACAACAGCTGCCCGCTGGAGAACTGCCGCCGTAATCTCAGGCATTGTAGTCATGATCGCAGA